TAATATCTGCCTGGGCCAACCTGAGTTGTCATACCATGTGGTCGGCCCTCCATGCATGCTGCTGTCTGTCATGGGTCCACAGCTCCCATTGCTGCTGTCTCATGCCATGTGCCATGTGCACTTTCAGGTCTCCTCACACTGCTGGGCGTTGTGTTGAATTTTTTGACATAGGGATGCTGGCAGATTACGGGCTCCTATAGCTGCTGCCAGGCACCCTAATCTGCCATATGGGCCCCTATACCGCCTTCCTATCTCCTCATGCCTGCTGCCAGTTGTCCAGGCGACGTTATAGTCACACAGGGGAGGAACTTCTCAGAGTACTGAATAGAGAAATCATAGACAGTATGGCTGTCTCCGCGCAAACTGCCCAAAATCCTGAAACCATGTGACCGAACAACGGAGAAGAACATGGTGTCTGTCTGCGTCAAGTAAGGGTTGTGCCATGTGCCAAGCATGGCTTCACGTGGTTTCAATTCTGGTTTGTCAAGCGTGTTCATAAAATCCAACCATCCCACTGCAAGACATCCGTGCTCCTTAATATGTACGTAAACTTTGCATGCATTTTCAGGCCATTCCTACACTGCCAAAGACCACACCCTCCTTGAGCTGCCAGCATAGGCAGAACCTCATAGATTGCACAGCATCGCCTGATCTGCGACGTTGCACACAAGGTGGAAGTTCAACTCTACACATTGTTAGACCGCCCTATTCACGAACAGCGAAAGGCCATCACCGATTTCCTGGATGTTGACGAAGCGGAATAAAGGCTCCTTACTCCCCTGGTGTAAACTTCGATGTCATGCCATTGGCTGCTCATGCGTTGGACACCTGCCGCTTGCTCAGGCCCTTTGAGGAAGGCCCACGCTATATTCGTGAGTCGGCAGGACTTATGGGTACTGTACGGACGTCATTCGCTCTGTTGCACGTCCTGGAACAAATGCTGTTTACAATGGCTGGTCAGGGTGCGGTAGGACGTGGCGCTACAGATCCCTTCAAGCCACATGGACCCCTGTGGGTGCCAGCACGAGGAAGAAGAGGAGGAGGTATAGACGGAGGACATTTGTGCTCAGGAATTATTGACCCGTGAGAAATGGAGTGGTTTTTTCCACACAGCGGACAGGGACGTGGAGGTAGCAGGAGTCATCTGGTAGAGGAGGAGGAGGAGGAGGACAGAGGGACCCCGACGCACCAGTGGCAGTATGCTGTGGAGATGGAGGCAGGGGAGTCCCTCGCCATTCCTTGGCCAACAAAATGGCCATAGCATGCTACGGTCTGCTTGGCGTAGCGGACAGTGCCGAATAATAACCATCAGCCAGAGGGATGACTTTTGGCTGTCAGCCACCTTGTTGGACCCTCGCTACCGTTCAAAAATGGTGGCCTTTTTTCAACCTGCTGAGATGGGAGGCCAAAATAACCTACTATAAAACACCCACCCCCCGTCTGTTGGTCACCCATTCTGCGGCCCAATGTCTCATACTTCAGACACGTCGTGAACCCTGTGCGCTGCGGCCCCCAAGGCACTCTGGCAGGCAGCGGGCGGGGTGGGGGGGTGGTAGGAGCTCAGTGGCAGCCCCACGCTGGCAGCGGCTCCCACAGTCTGCAGTCGATTGAGATGAGTAGCATTCCTCACCAACGCTCAGCACGACCGGACAACCAACATAACCAGCCATGCAGCAGCAGCAGCATCTGAGTCACAACCCTGGGCAGGTGCTCAAACAACAGCTTGGCCACGCTCACTTGGAGCTGCTACCTACTGCCACACCGAGGGTAGACCATCCCACTCGCCGACATACTTCTCATCCCGAGTAAGCGACGCACACGCTCTCCAACGCACCCCCCATTGGCACCCTGAAAAGGGTCCGCCTGTCATGCACGGCCAGATAGAGGACCCCATCGGCCCCCCACGATTTAGTGCGCCGACCCCCGGTACCCCGGACACCTCCGCGGAGGCCCCCCCCCCCCCACCCGAGCGACCCTCAGCCGTCGCCTCATCGACCCCATCGTCATTAGACCCCGCTGAACCCCATCGCCCGACCTCAGGATCCGGTTTTCATCTATCTGGATTCCACTCACCACCCCGTTCCTGACACAACTGACGCCAATTCCGCCATGTATCATGCCCAAAACATGTCTGCCGCCTTTCGACGTCTCCGCCCAGCTGCTGGTGTGTTTGATTTTTTGACATAAGGGTGCTGGCAGGATTTTACGGGCCTCCATAGGCTGCTCGCCAGGCCCCTAATCTGCCATTAGGCCCCTTTATTAACGAGCGCCTCCTCATGCTGCTGGCCAGGTCCAGAGTCTCTCATGATCCAGTACGGCCTCCCATGCATGATGCTGTCAGCTCCATCGCCCCACACTCTGCCATGTGCCACTTTCCAGGTCTCCTCACACACTGCTTGGTGTGTAGAAATTTTTTGGACCATTAGGGTGCTGGTGGCAGATTACGGGCCTCCCATAGCTTGCTGCACAACAAATCGGCCCCTAATCTGCCATGGGCCCCTATATATACCGCTCTCATGCTGCGTGCCAGGTCCAGAGTCTGTCATGGGTCCCTGTTACGGCCCCCCATTGCTTGCTGTCTTCCCATCGCCACACTCTCCCATGGTGCCACTGCTCGGGTCTCCTCACACTGCTGGGTGTGTTAGAAGAATTTTTTGACATAGGGTGCTGGCAGATTACGGGCCTCACCATAGACTGCCTGCCAGGCCCTAATTGCATAGGGGCCCTATATACCCTCCCGCTCCTCATGACTGCTGCCAGGTCCAGAGTTCTCATGGGTCCCTGTTACGGCCTCCCATTGCTGCTGTCTCCATCGCCACACTCTGCAATGTGCCACTTTCAGTGTTCTCCTCACAACCGATGAGGGTATGTGTTGTAGACTTTTGTGACTGATAGGGTATAAACTGGCAGATGGTACGTGCACGCCATCCCCTTGCTCACAGCCCCTAATCTGCCTGAGGCCCCTCCGTTCATACCTTGCGGAAAAGGGACCGCCTCAGAGCTGGCTGCCAGGCATCGCCAGTAGCCGTCATCATGGGGAGTCCCTGTACTGGGGCCCTCACCATTGTGCTGTCCACCATTCGCATGTGCCCACCCTTCTGGTACTCTACCCCTTTACTCTCCACACTTCCACACTGCTGGATGTTGACAACGGGACGCCTGGGCATCCAATGGTTTGGCGCGCGCGCGCACTCAGGGCTGCTCTGGAATGTTACGGTGCCGCCCCTGGTTGCGGACGTGCCCATGGCCCATGCTTGCCACACCCCCTCCTAACCCCGCGACCCCTGGGTCATGTCCCCCGCCTGCAGGGTAGCATGGGGAGGCCGCACCTTGCTGCCTCGCGCGGCCTCATGGTTGCTGTCTCCATCGCCACTCGGGGCCGGGTGGGCCGAAACACACTCGCTCAGGTTGCCTCACACTGTGGTGTTTGTCGAATTTTTTGACATCAGGGTGCTGGCAGATTACGGGCCTCCCATAGATGCTGCCAGGCCCACCCCCAATCTGGCCATGGACCCCTATATACCGCTCCTCATTGCTGCTGCCAGGTCCAGAGTCTCTCATGGGTCCCTGTACGGCCTCCATTGCTTGCTGTCTCCATCGCCACACACGCGCCTTTTGTGCCCCACTTTCAGGTCCTCTCACACACTGCTGGGTGTGTAGAATTTTTTGCCTAGGGTGTTGGCAGATTCGGGTCCTCCAGCTCATGTGCTAGTGCCTGCCAGATACCTCTCCATCTGCCTGATGGGGAGTAGAGCCTCCCTCAGCTGACTGCCAGACGTCCAGGGAGTCTCTCATTGGGTCCCTGTACGGGCCTCCATTGCTGCTGTCTCCATCGCCACACTCGGCCATGTGCCACTTTCAGGTCTCCTCACACACTGCTGAGGTGTGTTCAATTTTTTGACATAGGGTGCTGGCAGATTACGGGCCTCCCATAGCTGCTGCCAGGCCCCTAATCTGCCATATGGGCCCCTTGTACCGTCCTCCTCATGCTGCTGCCAGGTCACAGTGTCTCATGGCATGTTGCCAGCTTTCCCAGGCTCGCTCACGTCTGCAGGTGCATGTTCCTGCCACATAGGGTGCTGGCAGATTACGGGCCTCCCATGCTGCTGCCTAGGTCCCCTAATCTGACATAGGGTGCTGCCCTATACGGCCTCCTCATGCTGCCTGCCAGGTCCCTTAATCTGCTCATGGGTCCCTGTACGGCCTCCCATTGCTGCTGTCTCCATCGCCACCACACTCTGCCATGTGCCACTTTCAGGTCTCCTCACATGCTGGTGTGTTCCATTTTTTTGTCATAGGGTGTGGCAGATTACGGGCCATCCCATAGCTGCTGCCAGTGGCCCTAATCTGCCATGGGCCCCTGTACGCCTCCTCATGTGCTGCCAGGTCCAGAGTGTCTCTCTGCCATGTGCCACTTTCAGGTCTCCTCACACTGCTGGTGTGTTGAATTTTTTTGAATTTTAGGGTAGGCTAATTGCTGGCAGATTACGGGCCTCCCATAGCTGCTGCCAGGCCCCTAATCTGCCATGGGCCCCTATACCGCGCCTCCTCATGCTGCTGCCAGGTCCAGAGTCTCTCATGGGTCTCCCTGTACGGCCTCCCCATTGCTGCTGTCTCCATCGCCACACTGCTGCCATGATGTGCCACTTTCAGGTCTCCTCACACACTGCTGGTGTGTTGAATTTTTTGACATAGGGTGCTGGCAGATTTACGGGCCTCCCATAGCTGCTGCCAGGCCCTAATCTGCCATAGGCCCCTGTACCGCCTCTCATGCTGCTGCCAGGTCCAGAGTCTCTCTGGGTCCCAGGTACGGCCTCACCATTGTGCTGTCTCCATCGTGCCCACACTCTGCCATGTGCCACTTTCAGGTCTCCTCACACTGCTGGTGTGTTCCATTTTTTGTCATAGGGTGCTGGCAGATTACGGGCCTCCCATAGCTGCTGCCCCCATGGCCGTACCTAATCTTGCCATGTGGCCTTTCTGTATACTATTAGCCGCTCTCATGCTGCTGCCAGGTCCAGAGTTCTCTTCATGGGTCCCTGTGACGGCCTCCCATTGCTGCTGTCTCCATCGCCACACTCTGCCATGTGCACTTTCAGGTCTCCTCACACACTGCTGGTGTGTTTACATTTTTTGTCATAGGGTTCTGGCAGATTTACGGGCCTCCCATATGCTGCTGCCAGGCCCTAATCTGCCATGGGCCCCCGTACCGACTCACTCATGCTGTGTGCCGAGGTCCAGTTTGCAACAGGTGGAATTCAACCTACATATGTTCCTCACTTTCAGGTTACGAACTGGTGGCCATCACCGATTTCCTGATGTTATAAGCGGATGGCAGATTAAAGGCCTTCCTGTGTAATTAGCTGTCAGCCATTTGGCAGCTTCATGTGCGTTGACATGCGCTTGCCTAGGCCCTTTGAGGAGGCCACGCTATTCGTGAGTCGGCTAGGACTATGGGGGATGAACGACGTCATTCCTCAGTTGCACGCTCCTAACTGCTGGTGTGTTGCTGTTAACATATGGCTGGTCAGGGTCCCATGCGGTAGACGTGGCGCACAGATCTCAACGCCACATGACCCCTGTGGGGGCAGGACAGGAAGAAGAGGAGGAGGTAGAGGAGGACATTGGTGCTCAGGAATTATTGATGTGAAATGGGTGGTTTTTCACTCAGGCGGACAGGAGTGGAGGAGCAGGAGCAGCATTGGTTTGAGGAGGAGGAGAGGAGACAGAGGACCCGGACGCACCGTGGCAGTATGCTGTGGAGATGGAGGCAGGGGAGTCCCTCGCATTCCTTGGCACAAATGGCCCATAGCATGTTCGCTTGCTTGCGTACCGACAGCCGAATAATAACCATCAGACAGAGGGATGACTTTTGGCTGTCCACCTTGTTGGACCCTCGCTAGTCCGTTCAAAAATGGTGGCCTTTTTTTCACACTGCTGAGAGGGAGGCCAAAATAACGTACTATAAAAACCACCTATGTAGTCAGCTGGTCTCTGCCATTTCTGCGCCAACGTCCATCCTCAGACACTGTGGGCCCTGTGCGCTTGCGTTCCGCTGCCATGGCAGCAGGGGAGGGGTGGGGTGGTAGGAGCAGTGGCAGCTCCACCAGCAGCAGCTGCCTCAGTCTGCAGTCGATGATGAGTAGCTTTCTTCACCAGCGCAGTGAGGAAACTACTAACCAGCCGCATGTGCAGCAGCAGCAGCAGCAGCAGCAGCAGCAGCAGCAGCATCAGGTAGGGACCTGGAGCAGGACCTCAAACAACAGGCTTAGGCCTACTTGGACAGCACCCTGCCAACCGAGGTAGACAATCCCCTTGACTACTGGGCAACGAAACTTGACCTTTGGCCCCCAACTAGCTGAATTTGCCCTTGAAAGGCTGTCATGCCCTCCAGTAGCGTGGCATCGGAGCGCGTGTTTAGTGCGGCAGGAGGTATTGTAACTCCGGGAGGACACGACTATCCACCCAAAGTGTGAGAGAGACTCACGTTTGTGAAAATGAATCAGGCGTGGATTTAGTCTGGATTTCAAACCACCAGTTCCTGACACAACTGACTAAATCTGCCATGAATCATGCCCCAAACATGTGCCACTTTCAGGTCTCCTCACACTGCTGGTGTGTTCCATTTTTTGTCATAGGGTGCTGGCAGATTACGGGCCTCCATAGCTGCTGCCAGGCCCCTAATCTGCCATGGGCCCCTATACCGCCTCCTCATGCTGCTGCCAAGTCCAGAGTCTCTCATGGGTCCCTGTACGGCCTCCCATTGCTGCTGTCTCTCCATCGCCACACTCTGCCATGTGCCACTTTCAGGTCTCCTCACACTGCTGGTGTGTTTCCATTTTTTGTCATAGGGTGCTGGCAGATTACGGGCCTCCCATAGCTGCTGCCAGGCCCCTAATCTGCAATGGGCCCCCTATATCGCCTCCTCATGCTGCTGCCAGGTCCAGAGTCTCTCATGGGTCCCTGTACGGCCTCCCATTGCTGCTGTCTCCATCGCCACACTCTGCCATGTGCCACTTTCAGATCTCCTCACACTGCTGGTGTGTTACATTTTTTGTCATAGGGTGCTGGCAGATTACGGGCCTCCCATTGCTGCTGCCAGGCCCGTAATCTGCCATGGGCCCCCCCTACCGACTCCTCATGCTGTGACGTTGCAACAAGGTGGAATTCAACCCTACATATGTTAGACCGCCTTTACAACAGCGAAAGGCCATCACAGATTTCCTGATGTTAAAAGCGGATAAAGGTACTCCCTGTGTAACTTAGATGTCAGCCATTGGCAGCTTATGCGTGACACCTGCGCTTGCTCAGGCCCTTTGAGGAGGCCACGCTATTCGTGAGTCGGCAGGACTATGGGATGAACGACGTCATTCCTCTGTTGCACGTCCTGGAACAAATGCTGTTTAACAATGGCTGGTCAGGGTGCTGTAGACGTGGCGCACAGATCTCAACGCCACATGAACCCCTGTGGGGGCAGGACAGGAAGAAGAGGAGGAGGTAGAGGGAGGACATTGTGCTCAGGAATTATTGAGTGAAATGGGTGGTTTTTTCCACTCAGCGGACAGGAGTGGAGGAGCAGGAGCATCTGGTAGAGGAGGAGGAAGAGGAGACAGAGGACCCAGACGCACCGTGGCAGTATGCTGTGGAGATGGAGGCAGGGAGTCCCTCGCATTCCTTGGCACAAATGGCCCATAGCATGCTCGCTTGCTTGCGTACCGACAGCCGAATAATAACCATCAGACAGAGGGATGACTTTTGGCTGTCCACCTTGTTGGACCCTCGCTACCGTTCAAAAATGGTGGCCTTTTTCACACCTGCTGAGAGGGAGGCCAAAATAACGTACTATAAAAACCACCTATGTAGTCAGCTGGTCTCTGCCTTTCTGCGCCAACGTCCATCCTCAGACACTGTGGGCCCTGTGCGTCGCGTTCCGCTGCCATGGCAGCAGGGGAGGGGTGGGGTGGTAGGAGCAGTGGCAGCGCTCCACCAGCAGCAGCTGCCTCAGTCTGCAGTCGATGATGAGTAGCTTTCTTCACCAGCGCAGTAGAAGGGAAACTACTAACCAGCCGCAGCAGCAGCAGCAGCGCAGCATCAGGTGGACTGGAGCAGGACCTCAAACAACAGGCTTAGGGCCTACTTGGACAGCACCCTGCCAACCGAGGTAGACAATCCCCTTGACTACTGGGCAACGAAACTTGACCTTTGGCCCCAACTAGCTGAATTTGCCCTTGAAAGGCTGTCATGCCCGGCCAGTAGCGTCATCGGAGCGCGTGTTTAGTGCGGCAGGAGGTATTGTAACTCCGCGGAGGACACGACTATCCACCCAAAGTGTGGAGAGACTCACTCGTTTGTGAAAATGAATCAGGCGTGGATTAGTCTGGATTTCAAACACCAGTTCCTGACACAATGACTAAATCCGCCATGAATCATGCCCCAAACATGTGCCACTTTCAGGTCTCCTCACACTGCTGGTGTGTTCCATTTTGTCATAGGGTGCTGGCAGATTACGGGCCTCCCATAGCTGCTGCCAGGCCCCTAATCTGCCATGGGCCCCTATACCGCCTCCTCATGCTGCTGCCAGGTCCAGAGTCTCTCATGGGTCCCTGTACGGCCTCCCATTGCTGCTGTCTCCATCGCCACACTCTTCCATGTGCCACTTTCAGGTCTCCTCACACTGCTGGTGTGTTCCATTTTTTTGTCATAGGGTGCTGGCAGATTACGGGCCTCCCATAGCTGCTGCCAGGCCCCTAATCTGCCATGGGCCCCCGTACCGACTCCTCATGCTGCTGCCCAGCCCGTAATCTGTCATGGGCCCCTGTACCGCCTCCTCATGCTGCTGCCAGGTCCAGAGTGTCTCATGGGTCCCTGTACGGCCTCCCATTGCTGCTGTCTCCATCGCCACACTCTGCCATGTGCCACTTTCAGGTCTCCTCACACTGCTGGTGGTTTCCATTTTTGTCATAGGGTGCTGTATGGCCTCCCATTGCTGCTGCCTCCACCGCCCACACTGTGGCTCCACACTCTGGTTTTGGCCCCCCGTGACTGCCCAAATGAGTGAAGTGTGCGGTGATTCTAAGATCGACGGCACTCATCTGCATGTCATACTGACTGTCAGTATTATTTCTCTTCCCCAGCAGACTCCAAGGGCATTTAAATTAAAGGTACAGTGTTCTGCACTAATATAAAGGCTCTCTGAAGCCTAGAAACACCCTTTTATAAGTTAAATTCGCAGCGAATATATTCGACTCGAATCAAAATTTTTCCACGAATTCGCCGAATCAGTCGAATCGAATTTTTGAATACTTCGCTCATCTCTAGTTATTACTGATCATTGGAAGGACTCCATAGTTTAAAGTGATATTTCACATTGGAGAGCTGATAAATTTCCACAAACTCAAGCCAGACTGGCATTTTGCTCAGAAGGAATACTCAGGCACGTGCTACAGAACCAGTTATGAGAGGGGGAATACTGTAGATTTGTGTAAGATTGTAAGCTGTTGTGCTGCACCGCAGGCTAGCCCATACCATACACCCATACACTGATTCCTGCTCTTTTAGGGTAATAACGGGTAAGGTGTGGCAGCTTAGTTGTGTCCGCCAGTCGGTAAATTACTATACCTTCTACCTTCATCCATCAGGAGGCGCCATGCTGTGCAGCACAAGGGTCTCAGCCTTTGGGCTGGGTGTATGTAAATGTATTGTATGTTCTCAGCATTTGTGGTTGTGTTTATTTGCCACATCTAAGTAAAATTCTGTTGTGGCAAAAGCTGGTGTTGGGGTTGCTTTCCTCGTTCGTGACTTCACTGCATTCTGGGGAGCCCACACCGGTACACAGCTTACACTATCTCCCTCATGTCTCTCTGTAAGTTTTCTGCATCTGTTCCTGAACAGCCTTGATTTAATGTTGATTCTGCTGAATCAGCACTTGTGTTTGCTCCTGTACCACACTAACTTGCTGTTATAGTACAGTTATGTATAGAAATTGTGCAGCGCTGAGATACGATCCACGTGGATCACAATGCATGAAATAAGATGAAATATATAAAATATATAAAATCCAAAATAAAAGCAATATATGGATATAAAATAGTGAGGCAAGAATATAATATGATGTGACCAAGGTGACTTTTGTTAATCCAGATAATGTGTGATTCCACAGTCCATGTGAGCGGCAGGCATATAGTAAGAATGCGCACTCACCGAATACGCATAGAATATGCGCAGTATATAAATCAATGAAGATCCATCCGGAGCTCCTCTTAAGGATAGTACCGGAGATGTCAGCCCAGGGTGGGTGGATTACATCAAGGTTAGCTCTGTGTCCGGAAGACCTGGCCAGGCACCATAGAGGGGAGATAGAGAGAGCTGTGGAGGCCATTGAGAGTGGGCAGGGAGGACAAAGCGGCTCCGTCTATCACAGAAGTCTTTACGCTGCTTGTTTGTTGTCTCTGCATTAAGGATTTGCCACATGTATGTTATCACTTTTATCTACTTATACGCTTAATACATTTTTTTGGATCGTTAACCTACTACACTATGGGCTTTTCCTTTTGTTGCTCTTTGGTGAGCTTTTAATCCCTCAGATCCCCCCCTCCCCCCACGGTGACCATTTCTTTACTCAGAAGAGGTTGCGTCCATATCGTTAAAGGGGTCTTCCGGACACAGTGATGTAATCCACCCACCCTGGGCTGACATCTCCGGTACCATCCTTAAGAGGAGCTCTGGACGGATCTTCATTGATTTATGTTTATTGATGCTATTTACTTACTTTCTGATTGCTTCTGGAATCAGGTATATGTCATCCTGTGTTGGGTAGTCCTAAGGGTAACACTAGCCTGAAGATAAAGCTTTTTTTCTCAGTGTAGATTTGGTGAGGTAATGTGTGGCTTATTAACCACTTGTGAACCAACCATAGTATTAAACTGGCCAGCCTGCAGCCCTATTGTTCTGGGAGGATGTACCTGTAAGTCCTCTTGGTTATTGCTGTGCATGTGCCCAGCTTGCACAATGCCAAAACATTAGACAGCAGAGAGCAATGGCTAAAGGGGCAAAGCCATTAGGAACATTTCTGTGCCCTGTGATCACTGTGATAGCAAATCACAGTGATCACAAATATGAATAAATGGGAATTTATTAATTAAATCCCCCAGGCACAGTCATGTGATATCACTGTAGTTGGACATTGCAGATCAAATGCAAACGGTACAGATCCAATTAGATGGATCTGTACCATATGATCACTGTGAGCAATCACAGCCATGAAAAGTATAAACACACACAGAAGCCATTGTGGAAGAAAAGGAAGATGTGGCTGATCACTGCAGCCACTGTTAGCGTACATAGCAGAGTGCCCTAACTAATCACACCACACCTACCTGATCACATAACCCCTACTTAATGACAGCACTTCTACCTAACACTAACTGACTGCAGCCAGTGCCAGTACTTCCAGTGATGCTGGTTGCAGCCAACAATGCTTGAAGAACTGGTGCTGTCTGTGATCAGCAACGCGGGAAACACTGGTGTTGGCTGAGCTCATTAAAGCTGAAAATACTTGTACTAGAAGTAATCCGGCATTGGCTGTAATCCACAACCTGCACCAATGTTTCCAGCACTTCTGATTGCACCCAATGTCTGTTTTTCCAGCATTGCTGATTGCAAGCACTGTCGGTTTTTTCAGCATAGCTGATCACAGCCAGTGCCAGCATTTCCAGCATTGCTGATCACAGCCAGCACCAGTTTTTCCACTTTTGCTGATTGCAGTCAGCACCACTCATTCCAGCGTCATTGGTCACAGTTAGTGTCATTCTTATCAGTACCACCAGAATTGCTGATCACAGCTGGTGC